AGCCTAGAATGTAGTGTGATGGACCAAAGTAAAACATTATTTTTTTCCTCCTAAAATTCTTTATTGTGTAGAAACGTTTTATTCAAGTTTTTTCACTTCTATTTATGCCCACATCCTCACTAAATAGAACCAATAATTAGACTGTATATATATTTCTTAATTAAACTTCTAATGTTAGTGTTTTGTGACAAGTTATTTTAATCTGAACAAGGATAAACTCAAACATGACTGATGATAACTATTTGATTGATTGATTCGATTGTTTGACAGTCGATCAAAACTATGGAATAAGAATGCACAATGTTGGATACATTATTAGTTTAAAATTGGTGTTAGTTTTTTATATTGTTATTGAATTCCCATTTAGCATGTTTATGTGTTGTAGTCATGTTGTGTAGGTTGTTTGCTTTTATTACAAAAGAGCATTAACATTAATAAACTTTAAAAGAATGAATGAAGTATGTTTATGGTATATCGTTAATTGTGTTCTGTTTTTACTTTGTATTACTTGGTTGTATTTGAGCAAGCCATCTTATAAGCCCACCCTCGTAAGTTGTTTGATCCTGTCAAACATAGGGTTTAAGCAAACATAAATGATGATTGATAGGTGCTTTTGCCCACCACTATTCTCCTTTTAGTGATTAGAATGAACAATTAGTTGTTTATGGAGTTATAGCTGGGCTGTGCTAGGCTAGGCAAGGCTGGGCCGGGCTGGGCTAGGCTAGGCTAGTACTCTAGATATATTCAATTTCTTGTGAACTCCAGAATAATGAAGTGCCCTCATTGTCCAGTTGACTTTACTGCTAAATTGGTAGCGAAAAACCCCCTTTTGTAAATAATGGTATCTTCCAAACAATTTTTTACACAAGCAGCATTATCTTGGCTCATACATTGTTTGGATTGTTCATTAATTAAATTATAGAAACAATTTAGATAATGATATACTAATTTTGTCCATCTTTTGAGGTATTTTGAAATACTGTAGATTGATATTAAAATATGGTTTTTACTACTTAAACTAGGTAATAACATATCAAAACAATACAAAGCATTGACAGTTTACATACATATTTATTAAGGGTACAAACACCTTGTGGCTCAGGGGAAACATTCCCTTATAAACTGATTTCCAATGTTGATATTGAGATTTCTCTGAAATTAGTAGCCTGCCCTCTGTATTTGCTTACGATTAATGTTGTGATTAACACTGAAATGAGGGTCTCCATGGAAACAGCATGGGTGGACCATGTAAGCATGTGTTGTGTACAGGGAATTGCTTATCGTAAGCAGTTTAGAAACATGAAACAATGTTTTTCTTTTTCAAAACATTGTTTGGTCACGTGCATTGTCATGTGCATTTAGATTTAGTTTACTCAGTTGCAGATTGGGATAGCTCTCAAATTCTTTAGTTTGCTCAGTTGTAAAATTGTAGATCTCACCTTGTGAGAAATACTGTGTTGGATTCTGTGATTCACAAGTGACTAATATTTATCTGAACATATCAGAAAAGAGGAAAATGCTGATTCAGTGTATGATACTTGTCTAACTAGTCCAGATGGAGAGAATGGTCCAGATGGACCTAACCTATTCATTATGTGATAACTATAGATTGTTAGGTTGCAAATAATGTCATTTTGTTAGTCTGTTCTCATCCCAAGAGGGCGTCATGTCTGTCAATTATTGTACCTCCTGAAAACTAGCTAATTAACAGTCTTACGAATTCCTGAGACTACTGATAAGAGTAAAAGTAGAATTTTTTCTGAATTAATTTCTTGGTTTAGTGCTTTAAATACCATTATTTAATGTTGGTAAGTTTCCAGTTTATGGTGCAACTGATAGAAAAAAATATTCACTACTTAATTTTTAATTATGATTTAGTGATATTATTTATTACATTATTATTTCAAAGTATGTTTTCTTTTGATAAAACAAGTTGTAGGTGAATTATCATTTAAATATCTGTGTATGTAATGTTATCAAGTTTATAGAGACGGTGACGGAAACATACAGTTTATGACAATTTCATAATTCATGGGAGGTACTGACTGATCTACTACTTTTTATTCAAGGATATGCACAGCAGCCTCAGTTGGCCTTTTATCCCCTGATCACGGCTCAATCCCCTAATAACTCTCTGCGCCAGGGTGAAGGGGC